TACCAATTATGAACTGTTGTTATGACAGCAACACGTCAAGTAGCCCATAACTGTCAAATTTCTCTAACTGAATTGGAGCTTAAATTAGTTATTATGAATGTCAACTCGCATCAGTACAATACAACGCATCGGGTTGTGATTATACGTCCTGTGGACATAAAGTTTTTAACTTTGTCGCCTTGTTCAAACATTTTAAAAACTTATCAAAGACAAAAAGTATTTACTTTTGATTTCGTATTTGCTTTGTTGATTGCATTTGCGTGTTTCGTGCGTTTCAGCCTTTTGTTCTGTAATCTGAGGTTTGTGGTAACTTAATGTATGGCTGTCTGTAGGTACAACGTTGTCGAGCAGATTCCGAATCACGTGTTTTTGTACGCCATTAGTATGTACAACTTAGCAGGTGTGTACGACTCTTTTATTTTAACTTAGTTAAGCTAAAGTTAATCTTTTAGTAATAATAATAATAATAAATTCTTCCAACACTCACACCAATTAACCTAGCCCCAAAGTAAGCACTGTAAGCCTTGTGTTATGGGATGCTAGGGTAACGGATAGAATACATATACAGTACATATATAAGTATATTAATATAGAAATAAATATTACACATCCATGACTGGAGTACAAATGCTCGTGTTCATCACACAAACATCTTCCCCCACCGGGATTCGACGACCTCTCGAGTCGGCGACACCATGAAACCCGGCGTATAAACCACTCGGCCACGGAGGTGTCATTAATGACCCCACTGCTGGGGCATAGGCTTTTCCTATGGATGGAATAGGGATTGCAGATTGGTGGGAGCTAAAGACTGCAGACACAGCCACGATCAACGTCTTTACGTGCTTTTCGAGCACGGAGGAGCCTGAGATAGTAAATGGTCACACATCTGATGACCGACCACTGCGAAAGTTGCTTAACATTAACTTCAAAGGACCCTATCTACATGCACTATTGAGCTTCTTATTGATTTATAATTAAATATAAGATATTAGTAGGATATATTGAGCAAATCAACACTTTCCCACTTTTATTATAATGCGAAAACATTGTTTCGACCCGGTTTTTTATAAGTTAACAGATAAAAACCATTTTTTGCAAGGCATAAAAATCCTTATAAATCTTAAGGATAAAAGGGTAGAGATTAAATTTTGCCTCATTAAAAGTCTTGAACTTTATGAATACCCATTTATTAATTAAAAACACATTTTGTCGAAGACGAAAGACTTGAAAGGGGGTTTTTAATGTTATTGAACTTCTCTTTTCTTATATCATTGAACCCGTGACAAAATATTTGTTTTTTTTTAAATACTATTTTATTTTATTTTTTTCAAATCAATCTTCTCTTACCTATATTTTTTTTTTATAAATGAAGTTTTACTTTTTGTTTTTCAAATAAAATTGTCAAGGGAATCTACACAAGAAACATCGCCGATCACTAGCAGACAAAAAAAAATATTGCCATTGTGTTACTTCCGATCTTAAACCTTGATTCTCTTCGACATATTTACATTGACTTATCATCACTTGCCCGTAAAATACTATACTCATCATCATCATCAACGTCAGCCTATTAATGCCCCCACTGCTGGGGCACAGGCATTCCTTATGGATGAAATTCCCTATTTCTGATGGACTGAGCCCAGTGCGGATTGATGGGTGCTAATTACTGTATATGCAGTGAGGATAATTGCGGTGCAGGAGTATTATATGGTTTTTAATGGATATAGTCCTAGAAAGAGAGGAGTCAGAAGATACCTTCTTCTTGCTCCCCTGGTGGCTGAAGGATGCGTAAGAGAACATTTCCCAGACATTAAAAAAGAGCCAATGGCTTAACGTGAATTCCAAAGCACAGAGGAGCTCGAGATAATAAGTTTCTGGTCACCCATCCAATGACCGACCACTGCGAAAGTTGCTTAACTTTCATGATCGCAAGCCGAATGCACTAACTACCTGCGCCATCAAGCTTCTCAGCACCCATTCAGTCAGAGTTTATCTAATTGTTGTACATAGACTAGCTGAGCCAGCGAACTTCGTATCGCCATAAAAATATGGGTGGTTGAAGGGTGAAAATTTAGAATAGTATGTATTTTTGTATGATGTATTATAAAAATATAAAAACAAAAAAAATTGCTGAAAAAAAATATAATGGTGGACCACCCTTAACATTTAGAGGGATGAAAAATAGATGTTGACCGATTCTCAGACCTACTGAATATGCATATAAAATTTCACGAAAATCGACCGAGCCGTTGCGGAGGAGTTCAATTACGCACACCGTGACACGAGAAATTTTAAATTAGATTAAGTTAGGTAGCAAACTATCATACGACTCGGCTGAGCGGTTACCGATTCCTAATATATGCACACATGTATTCTAATTCCAAAAAGCATCACTCACGCGTAGCAGAAACTGTAATAGTTATTATTGCAACTGTTGTATAATGAGAGATATTAAAAGACGAATGTGGGTATATACCGAGTGTGATAATAGTATCACATGAGTGTTTTAATACGTAATTATGAACAGCGTTGCATACAAGACTTTATCTACACCCATGATACGGATCCTCTATATAAGATACTGAAACCATTAGGCGTTCTAAGAGCATAAACTTCATGAAAAGTTTCGTCTCTGTGGAAGTGGACCGCGCGTGAATGACAATGTTCTTTTTTTGAAATTCATAATACTACGCTTCGGGCAGGGAAAATTGTGGCTGTCCGATAAGTAAGCCCGTAGCGCGGAAGGGATTTAAAAAGCGTTTAAGCAACTGTTGCATAATCAGGGTTACTAAAACACGAATGTGGTTTTGTGTATGATAATAGTACCATATGAGTGTTTCAATACCTCATTTGAACAGTTGCATACAAGACTCTTATCTACACCCATTACATGAATCCTGTACATAAGGTGCTGAAACCAGGCGTAAACAAACCAGCAGTCAAAATTGTGGCTGCCTGATGAGTAAACCCTTTGCACGGAAGGGATCGAAAAATCGAAGGAGTGATAAAAAGAAGTTTAGTAGTAAAGGCTACGAAACGTCAATAAATAAATAAAAGTTTCGTGCATTAACCCGTAAAAACTAGTTTTATCACACACCAATAAATTAATTGTATGTAAAAATGCTTCGGCGCCGGCTTCCTTGTCTATTGGGCGATGCTCAAGAAGTTTGCGGGGGTGTACACATACTCCTTGCACCAACATTCTTAAAACAAATTTGAACCATCCCTTTTAGTCCAGGCAACGAATGCTCAAAACAGGTATAGAGGGAAATGCTTGGAACACAATTTTTGACTTCGTAACTTTGTTAGGACTAGTTAGGAGGTAAACATATCAAAAGTCCCCGCCCGTAGCCCTTAAGCCGGGGGGAAGGGGGATTGAAGGTCCCATTTTTAGGGTTTTCGCATATATCTCGAAAACTATGCATCCTAGCGACATGAGACTGTGACAAAAGTGAAAGCTGATTAAATTTGCTACAAGTCTTATTCAGTCAAGTTTTTTGATATCTTGTATAGTTTTTGAGATATCCGCTCTTGAAAGTCTGTAATTAATTGCCACCACTTCCTGGGAATGCTGTTTTGCTGCTCCCTCGGTGGGAGGAAGACAAGAGATATCAGGCTTGATGGTGGCCACTGATTTCAAGAATGACTTGTACCTGTACGCATTGAGGGAAATCTCTTTCGCTGGAGCTCCATACCACCTTAAGATGCAGGTTTCACCTGCCTTTTGTACTTGAGCGGTGGTGGAGAAAGGGTGTGAAAGGACCGCTGCTGCTTTCTGGATTTCTGGTGACTTGATAATGTCTCTGGTCTCTGGGAAGGGAGGAAATTTCTCAAACCAATCGGTGAGCTTGGCAATGTCAGCTCTATCCTTGTTTTGGCGGGCTTGTCCGAAATCTGCATGCTGCTCACTGGTGGAACCAACAACCCTACGGCCGGCATTGTAGAAGAGTTATCCGGTCAAATAGAGCAAAAATGTGAAGCAAATTTTTTTTCCCATAATTACAGACTTTCAAGAGCGGATATCTCAAAAACTATACAAGATATCAAAAAACTTGACTGAATAAGACTTGTAGCAAATTTAATCAGCTTTCACTTTTACCACAGTCTCATGTCGCTAGGATGCAAAGTTTCCGACGAGATATATGCGAAAAACCTAAAAATGGGACCTTCAACCCCCCCCCCCCCCTTCTCACCGGCTTAAGGGCTACGGCCGGGGACTTTGATATGTTTACCTCCTAACTAGTCCTAACAAAGTTACGAAGTCAAAAATTGTGTTCTAAGCATTTCCCTCTATACCTTTTCGTTGCCTGGACTATTTTGAAAATAGATTCAAGTCAAATACAAATAGAATGAGGTTTAATTTTAACCTTTTTGTTTTTCACTTTAAAACATTGGTGCAAGGCCCAGCGCACACCGGGAGGGACGCGGCGAAGATACTAAACGCGGTGACTCCGAGCGCGGCTCTCGTGGTCGCTTCGCAGTGCTGTGCGCCACTTGTGAATTGTTTCATGTTGGCGGTGAAACGTTTTAACTTATGATATTGTAAGAGGAAAGATGACGCACTTCTTTTGAAATGTAAATATCCCTCGTCACGGGCACCGAGGACAGACGAGCTCGCCACTCTTGCTGGTACGTTGAAGGCATAGGTTACGTAATTGCGTTGTTGTGCGTTTTATGCGAATGTGATTCGTGTTTATAGACATGGATGTATATCTACTTAAGTTAAATATATAAACGTTAGATGTAAGTACTTTTATATTGATTAATTATTCATAATATAGATTGATGTGCCTATAATTAGTTCGTTTTTATTTTTTATAAATTAGATATCTATTCTTTGATATAATAATAACTAGGCTTTAACTTAAATTGTTAACTTCTCAGTATCTTCACCGCACCTCTCCCGGTGTGCGCTGCGCCCTAAGCTTTATTACGAAGCTTCATCGTTTTCATAACCATTTCATTGACAGAAAAAAGACTAAGAAAAAGGCCAAGTCAAATGTATTACTACAGTAGAGAGAATAAATAAAAGAAACCATGATCATAATTTTATTAAAGGTATTCTCTTAAGTTGTTTTTCTATTTGCTTCACAGTCTTGTCTTTCAAGTTGGGTATAGTAAATAAACCATAAACGCCTGCGTAGATGTTGATAGCAGCGAAGATATAGAACAACACGAAGATTCCCATGTAATCTTCTATGTATTGGTAGGTATGAATGTGTATGAGTTTTATTATTTGGGAATACGTGAACAGTGTTCCAACCATCGTGGCGCGTATCTGTAACAAGAATATTGTATTTGTGAGGATTCATTTGGAAGAAAGACAATAAAATTTTGGGTGAAACAATAAATAAACAAATGAATTCAAAGTACCTATAATATAAAATTTCGCTGCTAAATTTTAAAGACTTTACACTAGAATCTTGGTTTTTGGTAGAAAATTGCTTCACTATAACGCAATACCACACACTGTACAACGAACTATCACTAAGTTAGATGAGCTACAATTGGAATTTCTACGACATCCACCGTACTCCCTGGACACTGCTCCAACAGATTACCATTTTTTCCGGAACTAGTATTGAACTTTTTACAAGGAAAAAAGTCAACTCCGATGTGGCAGTCCAAACCGCGTTCAAAGAGTTTATTGATTCTCGTTCCCATTGTTTTTTTAGTAAAGGGATCAATGAACTACCTATGAAATGGCAAAAGTGCATAGATAACAACGGTGCATACTTTGATTAATAAAATATATTTTACGTAACAAAAATTTACTTTATATTCCTCCCGTACAAAATGCCAACTTCATATGTAAGGAACTAATATTTATATTTTTATTGATGCTTTCTAGTGCCAAGTTTTAAAGTTTTGCAGTCTTGATTGTAAGTGTTTACACTATCTTAAACTTTTGCATCACACCAAAAACTAAACTTGGTGCGCATATAGCTTATGACCTAGATGTCATATCGAGTGTGAACTCCGTAAAATTGTTGTCGTAAATATATCTCGGCTCAAGTGAGCACGAGGTTTGCATACCGATGAACTGCTTCTACGTTCACATTGTATGCGAACGATGTGGAACATCAAGAAATACGTGCAGGTTTTTATAATCGATGTGAAGTGTGAAATACGGAAGAGAGAGAGAGAGCTATAAAACGTCATATTATAAGTTACATATATTTACGATGCCGATTAATCTTCTAAGCTGAAACGGAACACCAGAAAATGCTTGAGTGACTAACTGTTCCGCTTAAGTCATAGCACACATATCAACTCCGAAAGGGATCGATATCGACTCGCCTTACGGCTTGCCGTCAAACAGGCGTCCACCTAACTTAAGCATGTAACGTAAGAGGATAAGCCCAAGTGGCCCAAGCACGAGTTTTTGACAGCTCCGTAAAGTATGGTATTTATTTATTTATTCTTTATTACCATAAAAACAATAAATGGCGGACTTAATGCCATAAGCATTCTCTACCAGTCAACCAGTAAAGGTGTAGGAGATGAAATGTTATGGCGATAGAATATGAGCCACTAAGCAAGGATCAATATAAAAAAATAAAAAACTATCTGCTCCTTAACTATACTATAACAACAATAAATATAAAAACATATTATACCTACTCATATACTTATACACATACATATCCATAAATATATATATTTACGTATTGATCGTAATCATAAAATTTTGTATGGAAAACCTAGCTTGTTCTTACGGCCGATAGGTTCAATAGAAATTTTGACGATGCGATAGGTTACGGTGCTGACAAAAACTCGTGCCTGGGTCTCAGATCCGGTACGTTCGAATCGGCTACGGCTAGATGATGGACGCCGCTCTTACGGCTTGCCAACCGCTAGTGGACGGCTAGACGGCACCGGTTCGATCACTCGCCGAGATAGTAATCACTACATTTTAAGAGTCAGCAATTAAAATCTTTTAAAATGGAGTAGTAACTATATCTATACAGAGCACGTTCTGCAACGCAGGCTGCAGGAGACGAAATGCGACGCGGAGACGAAGAATGCGAAAGACTCAGACGGAGCGTGCACCTCACTAAACTTACGGGGGACAAAATGTCCGCATACCGTGTGCGTTGTGTCCGTGACAAGTCCTCGGCGGACAATTTTTTTATGACACGCAAAAGTCCTCCGCGGACATAAGTCCGTAAATGTACAATTGTATTACAGTTGACTACTGATCATAAATGTAGTAGACTATCTGGTGTCTGCGTCCCCAGAACAAATCATAACCTATCTTCTGAAAGATTTACTCAGCGAAAATGACGTTTTACCCTTTTTAGGGTTCCGTAGACCTGACAAAGAACCGTTATAGTTTCGTCATCTCCGTCTGTCTTTCTGTCTATCTGTCCGTCCGAGGTTTTGCTTGGAGACTGAGACGGCACTAGAGAGCTGTAATTTTGTATGTATTTTAATCACGTTGACGGAGCAGTAAAATAAAATTTTGTTTTTTTTAGGTAGCTAGCTCCCTTGCATTGCAGCACGTGTTGTTATTTTTTTTATCGTCTAGCCCATCGCGGTGGGCCTTCGTTGAAGGTCCTTTAAAATTACTTAGGACTTAGCAACCCCTGTCTGACTGTTTTCCGATTTAGAGATATATTTGCGAAATATTAAACTTTAAAGTGCAAAGTTTCCTTTACTGTCGATCAACTTATGTATTAAAAAAACCTTCGAAGAAAACGTTGAAAGTGATTTAGATGGAGTAATTGCTTGCTGGTAACGCGTAAAACCTTACTTTTAAAACCAAAATCTTAAAAAGAACTACAAAAAAAACCACAATAAAACATCATTAATTCAACAAAGCTGCCGCTAGATCGCTCTGTACCAACGACTCCTGAATCGCGCTATACCAATGACTCCTGAATCGCGCTGTACCATTGGCTTCTGATTCGCGCTAACGTTATGTTTTTATAAAGATTATAGGAGCACTTTAATAAATTCTCCTGATATTGTGTTAACGACGGGCAACTACGGAACCGTGCACTGCGCGTGGCACGACACGCACTTGGCGCGACAGGCTTGAAAACGGTACAGACAAACAAATATGCGAATTTTTTACATCAATTTATGATGATGATAATATTATATTTTAAGATGCTTTGTTTAATTTTAAACGTGCTAAATATTGATACCCCTAAAAGAAACCGCCATTTTTTTTTTTATAAACTGATGAGTCGATGCGTTAAATTCTGTAACTTTTAGTTACGTAGAAGTACATACTTTATCATTCCGGAAACAGGAAAATGCACTTAAAGTACGCACCGGAAATTCAATGCGGCCTTAAAGAATATTCACAAATTTGTGGGCGATATTTAAGTAATAAAAAAAGAAATGTGATTATTTTGTTCTTCTCTTGCATTTTTCCCATACATGTCAAGTGTGGAAATTTTTTCACCTTCTACCCCATTGTGTGGGGTATCGTTAAATACATATTTTAAAATGAGTTAGCGGTTGACTATTTTTTGATTTATATATTTGTTTGCGAAATATTAAACTTTAGTGGCAATTTTTGTCAGTGTAGACCATCTTATGTCCTCGTAAGGACATAAGATGGTTTTTATCACAGAAACCATCCTTTGAGGGGGTGAAAAGAAGGGCGAAAGTTTGTATGGGGCACAAATGTATAATGCTTTTTATACAAACTTAATGGTGTAAACACAGATGTAGTTCAGTACAAAATTCGGTAAGTATTCCAAATTCTCCCACTAGACGATGAATGAAATTCAGTACAATTTTCTTTCCCTGTTTTTAACAGATTAAAAATGACTATTGTTATGTTCGCTTTTTGTGGCATAGAATGTCACTTTTTTGAGCAAGTGGTACGAATAAACTATTACATATATATTTTCCATTAGTTCCACAAAGATGGTAACTACGGAGCCCTTCTTACATTGCGCGTAGCACGACATGAACTTGACCCTGCGTAAAATATTTGTGCCCCATACAAACTTTCGCCCTTCTTTTCACCCCCTCAAAGGATGGTTTCTGTGATAAAAACCATCTTATGTCCTTACCCGGGACTTAAACTTACTCTATTTTAAATTTCATCCAAATACATTAAACGGTTTAAACGTAATAATGTAACAGAAAATCAGATACACACTTTTAAAATATTAGTATGGATACAGAAATCAGAAGTTTAGTTTAGTTTTTCAGGGCGGTTTCCGCACTTAGTCCTAATCATTGGATCATTGTGTGTGAGAAATCAGAAATCAATATATATTTATTTAAATTGGATGGATAGTACAACTCTTTTGAATCGTCCAAATTATTTGTTTCCCTACCGTTCGTTATTGGACATATTTTTTAGTTACGCAGAAAAACGAGCGAAAAACCTCCACTATATTAAAAGTATAATGTAACAACATTTACAAATCGTTATGTTGTTACAACGTCAATACAATCACGATTTATTTAATATAGAAAACCTGTTGGAATGATTGGAACAGTTTAAACCCAAGCATTTTTGTCTGTAATATAATCAGACACTTTGTAATAAGCTTTTTTTATACTATCTTTGATTTGATTTATGGTTAACTCTTGGGTATTGCTTGGGGCTTTATTGTATGTGTATAAGCGAACACAAAGTACACACCTTAAAATGAATTACTAATTTTGTGAAGTGAATAGCAGGTTAAGTTAGTTTATTTATATTTCTTGTATTAAATGCGTGAACATCACTGTTTTTAAGAAACAAATTAATATTTTTTCTTTCAAGTAATAAATTATCGTATTTGTATTGTGATGCGATCGTCATTATTCCAAATTCTTCAAAGTTAAGTTAGTTTATTTATATTTCTTGTATTAAATGCGTGAACATCACTGTTTTTAAGAAACAAATTAATATTTTTTCTTTCAAGTAATAAATTATCGTATTTGTATTGTGATGCGATCGTCATTATGCCAAATTCTTCAAACTTATCTTATTTTGATTGATTAATAAAAGCATTCTTAAAAGTTGTCGTTAGTCTCAATCTATAGTTGGAGGGATTATAAATTATAACTCTTCAGTGAACTTGGTTATTGGGGATTGCTCTTGGAATAAATCCAAGTTCATCCGGGCAATCATCTCTTTATTTTATCCGTATTTTCGGTAAATATTCCATGGAACTTGAACAAATACTACTACTACTTAATAAATTATTAAGGCTATAAAAGGGTCCCTACCTATAAAGCATGTGATAGGTACTCTGCACACAATACCCATCCATTATATCTAAATGGTTGTTATGTTCGGTAATATGACGACACTGGAACCACAGTTAATTTGCCGCTACTTGATATGTTAACATTCTAAACAAAATTCAGATCGAACATATTTTGGGTTGCATATAAATAGGAAACAAAAAAAAAAGTAATTTTTTGTTACTTATTCAATTGCAAAAATAAATGTTAAATACGGGACATTAATTCTCCAAACCTGACTTTCATTGAAAATTTCTCGCTACTTGATGTACTAACAATCAAAACAAAATTCGGATTGAACAAATTTTGGGCTACATTTTGGATAACGAAATAAAAAAAAACAACAATTTTTTTTAAATTGAAACTGTTTTCAATTTCAAAAATTTTCAACATTCAATTGTCTCACCTCTAGATTATATATTTCCACCACAATAATTGTAGGGAATCCCCAAGCCACACCGTAACCGAAGACCAGGATTGCCAACGCCGCTACTGGCACCCATCTAAGTGATGTCACCGTGAGATCGATTTGCGTGTAAATCGCCAGAACACCCATAGATAGCACCATTGTAATGTAGCCGAAGGTTAAGATATACTGAAAAATAATTTGCTTGTGAATTAATAATATTTTACATAAAAAGTCAGCAGTGGGCATTATATGTCTGATGTGATGATGGAAAGTCACGGGGTATGGAAAAAGTAAGTAAACCAGACATGCAGAATGTACTATTAACAGATCTTTGCCTATTTTTGCTTAACAAACCAATATAACTATCCTAAATAAGAGAAGTAGGACATAGCGGATTTCCCGCTCGAATTGGAGCGCTCGGAAGTTACCTCCGCCTACAAAATATTACAGTAAAATAACACTACCTTTTGGTGGTGTTGTATTTCTGTCGGTGAGTAAAGCTCCAGGGCTCCACGGCGTAGAGGAATGGGTCAGGGTAGGCAAACGGTGCGAGAGATATTTTTAGTATCGCAAGCGTCTATAGGCAATGGGGGCCGCTTACCATCAGACGGGCTATACGTTTGTTTGCCACCCTTTAAACATAAAAATAGAATCACCATTATCTGAAAATATCAGCATTCAACTAATATTGTAAGAAAATGGTGAATGCTATTCCCCTACCTTTTTTTTTGACGATAAGAAATCCCTAGACCGACCGTACCGTGCGCTGGCGAAGCACACGGCGTGTGTGGGACTCACCCGGCGCGGGACAAAGCGCCGGTCCTACCCACTAAAACTCACCGGTGCCCTTCCACGCCCATGTGGGAGCGTCTTAGGCGCGGCACGCCTCTGTGTGCGCCACTCCACTGGGAAGCCCCGGGGCCAGCCCGGCCCAAAGAGTGGACCGGGTGACACGCAACTGGGGGATTACGCTAGGGTACTAGGCAATTCCCAGACGGGGTGGCCTATGCCAAATGGTACCTAGGGCACGCGCCCAGACCACCTTAGAGCCGATGAAGACCGGCAGTCACGGCTGCCTGCCTTCTTCGGCCCACCCGTCTACGTCGGAAGGGAGCGGCTAGAGCGTCCTCCTCCAGCTCCCACTCCGCGGCCTCCTTCTGCGTCATCAATATTATTATCATCTCACAATATAAGCAATCAACTAATATTGTAATAAAATGGTGAATGCTATGTGCTACCCCTACCTAATGGGTTTTAGCAAGTTTTTCTTACCAAAGTTAAGTACAGACTTAAAACCATTAGCTTTCGCCCGAGGCTTCTTCCGTGTTTTAATTAGTTTCTTTTAGAATCCCACAGGAATTTATCAATTTTTCCATGAAATAAGTTAGTAAAAAAAGTTAATTGTCAATCCAGGTATTCCAGATTATATCCAGGTTCAGTCTTTTTAGCGTGAAAAAGAATAAACATCCATACAAACTTCTACGTTTATAATAGTAGTAGGAAAGAAGTAGGGTTAAATCTGACAAGGTTTAATTATTATAGGTTTTCGATAAATTTTGCAATTTCTTTTTAAATTTCATATTTGTTTTGTTATTTAATTTATATGCGAATGTACTCACTTTCCTTTCCACGAATAAGATCAGAAGAAAAGTTACTAAGCTCCCAACGAACATTCCCACCAGCACCAACATCCTGTCAGGGTCTGAAGGTATCCTCAGCTGCATCAGAGTCTTATCCTGGTCCAGAAATACTATGCTTCCGCATAAGACCATTGTTGTATGTAGTAGCACTCCAATCTTTGTTGCATCCCTCCAAATTAAATTTCTCACTGTGAAGATAGGAAACAAAGCTTTTAAAATTTAAATAATAATTCTTATTAGATTTCTAAATTTATCTTTAAGTCTATTTTAGGTTTGTGTTTATACTAGTTTCTCACTTAAACATCACTTTTTTTTTGTATTCATTCGTATTGATATGGGGGCAAATAAAATTTATACGCGCCCACGCCCTCTACTTTCAAGTCGTTCATAGTATAACTATCGATAGAATTACGAAATTAGCCAAATATCGATAATTTACTGATAGTGGTCTACTCATTGACAACACTTTAGTAAAATTAATCAACGATTAACTCCATTACTACCGAGAAATTATACTCTGTCGATATTTAATTTCGAGTATCTTGAGAATATTCTAATAAATTAATTGAACAGGATATTATGGAATAAATTATTACGGACGATTGCTTAAATGATTGTTTCAGGGTTAAGATGGGGAGGAAGAACAGGCTGTATGTTTTAATTTTACCTTGAAATTATAACTAATATCTAAAAAATAGGTCCAACGAGTTGTTCGAATATAACAGACGTCCCTTTTATAAGTCACTTTGTTGACAATAGACCCTAAAACTTTGTCCAATTGAAATACTTCGGAGATAACCTCCGTTTCACCCTCACCTGTCTCACCCAGTTTCCTGACATTTGGGCTTTAACCTCCCTAATATTTCTCGGGACAAGGGGCAAGGGCGACGGCAGTCAATAAATCAATCAGTCACTTTGCCACTGTTATTGGGAAATTTACACCTTAGCTGTTTTACACGTGAGGCAACGTTTCCGTAAGCAAAAAGTAATTTGTTTAGTGAACTGTTTGGTTTTGTTTTCACTGCTCATGTATGCATTAGACTGAATAATGTTTTCTCAATGGACAGAATGAAACTAAACATTTAAGGGCATTGTATTTTCTAGTTGTAGGTTGATGTGACCTTGAACTAAGCAGGAGCTTGTTGAATGTAGATTTAAGACAACCTTTTCATTTATTTCTTACTAGACGATGTTTACAACTTGGACTTTAAAAAACTTTAAAACCGCAAACCTTATCGTGAAATAATACATAGATTAGTAAAATTTTTGAGAACACACACTGGACCAGACTTTTTACGTTCCTAAATGAATTTAAATTAAAAAAACGCGTATAGAAGTCAAGGGACTTCTTGAACGTCAAAAACGTTAAAGGAGCTGGTGTTAGCGCAGGCCATATTCTATTTGTTTTCTAAAATCATTATTAGTGTCAATTACTTTAAGTACATGCCATAGTTTTTTATTAATAATTTTACTAAGAAACAATGTTAGTATATTACTATAATTGAATAATAATAGACTTAACTACATAATTCAGTTAATAATGTCCACATTATTACTTCATTAAATTTCCGTAATGTAATGCATGAAGTTGAGTTAAAATCTTTATGTTTATATTTATACCCTCTATGTTTTTTTTTAATTTCATTTCGAGAACACGGAACTTTGTGAAGAATTCTGCTCCCAAGAGTTCGTAACATGAATACTAATAAGAGTTCAGATGAATGAGTATTAAACAAATTCTATTTAGGATCTGCATATCGAGACTGTAAAGGCAGCGAAATTGATTGCAACGCTAGCATACTAAACAAGGATAAGTAAAGGGCTCAATATTACGTGGTGTTCGATGGTACAGTGGCAAGCGTTTGATTTGCCTTTGTATTAGCTATTTGGCTGATCATCAAAGAGGTGCAAAAAAGACATTATTACGCCAACGTTATTTTACGTCAGACACATTTATACCAATCAAAGAGAGGCTAAAATAGAATTGAATGAATTATTTTATATCTTGAATGTAATTTGTTGTTGGACAATACTCACAAATATGGGCCAATGTTAGCTTTCCGTGCGACTTCGCTCTATAGCTTTCATCCCTTAGGATCTCGAGCTCTTTTGTTAAATTCGGATTGTCGTTTTCGAGGCACTTCAATTTCGACATTTTTGCTTTTGCTATCTGTAAACCATAAAAAGCGTGATAAATTAAATGCTTTTGAATGTCCGACTAATAGAGATAAACCTCTTAAAGAAATTAATTTTTATTTCCTTCAAAAAATAGGCCGTTAAGGCCGATATTGCGTTTATGATACTCATGGTGTTGCAGGTATCTATGGGCGATAGTGATCACTTACCATCAGGTGAGCCGTCAGCTCGTATTAAATACAAAGAAAACTGCTATAAATTCATAATATAAACAGAAGGGACTATTGATATCGATTTTAAATATATGGGATAAATATAATTCCTAGATTCAACCCAGAATAGATTAGATGATATAGATTTGATTATAAGAATTGATCCAAATTTTCTGATACGCACAGTCGTACAATAATTCATAATAATAATAATTGTATATTTAAGGCATAAAAACCCAAATAAAACACACACAATGCACATTACAGTAAAAAGTAGTAGGTATTATAAATTGTTAAAAAAATACCTTTAATCTAGATAATTTGTAGAAGAGCCCTCACTGGGTAAAACTCAATTAAGTTTTACGTTCACTATATCACGTATATGTATCTGGACCCTTGTTGGGATTGTAGTAAATCCCGACCTATCGCTAAGTGAGAAAACGTGTAAACAAGATCTATTTTAGGTTGCTGACAGCTGCCAATGGAATCGACAGGTCCTAGACAGACTTCCATTTTATTTTAACGCTTCGGCGAATATTTTTTTTAGGGAAACGTACACGTCTGGGCCTGACAATTTATTTTGGGAAATGCGCTATTCAAAAATAGGTATAGATTATTATCTATCATAACTCTGTGTTGTATCGACTCGAGTCGCGACGGCTATCGTCGGCTACAAGCTGCTCATTTATATAAAGCCTTACCTACTTTGGGAGACTGGGCCCAAAAACTTAAATAGTCACCATGTGAATCCTTGTCTGGTTTTGCAGTTATAGAATGGCATAGAGCATGTACAGCGCTTACGAGTTGGCAGTTTCAATATTGCTTAGAAGCATAACGCATAGTATTATTACAGGTGGTATGCAACTCACATTGTTCAGATTTGTTTCTATCGCTGAATCAGTATAAATCACTTTTGCAACCATATTTAAATGAAATCATTTATTTAAAATAAATAAAATATGAGTAACATTTCTCTAAAATATCAAATAATAAAATAATACCTCCATCTTTCCTGCCATCACACAGTAGCTCGGTGATTCGATCAAGCACAACATCGAGAGCAACTGAATCATCACCACCGCAGCCATCAGATACATCATCGTTTCCAAATCTATCACCAGTTTCATCACATATGCTAGCGTAGTCATCACCATCATAAACGATAGACATAATCCTCTATTTTTTATGGAATTTATCTCACATATGTAAATTGGAAGAATTGTGAAAAGACCTCCAGTAGAAATTCCAGCTACTACGTGTAGGATTAATGTTGTTATAAAGTTTGGTGGTAAGAACAATGGTATGCATGATATCTGTAAAGCAAAATTATTTTATAACTCCTTTAAATTTAATTATAACTGAAGACTGAAGTAAACTTTCAGTAGGGCACGGAAAATTATTATTTAACTACTAGTTAAGTTTACGAGACAAAAGAATTTGTACTCACTCCTTGTGTCAGACTAACGATAAAGATGCCCACTTTTCTCCCGAACTTGTCTGAAATGTAACATAATATAGGTGCTGTCACAGCAGCCGCTAAAATTAAAGCGGTGGCATTCCATGGCACTTTTTCTGGAGAATCAATGAAATTGCCTGAATGTGAAGTGGCATAAAGTTCAGTAGCTTCTATGCCATGGGTAAGAAATGGCAGGCTAGCTGAAACAAAGATTTATGTATACAGTTTCAAATAGATTTGCAAATTATATATTATGAGAACTAATGATGTCCATGTCACATAGAAAGAAATGAACTTCGATGTGGATGGGTCTCTCTCTATGGGAGAAAAATACTAAAGAAAAGGTGAAAAAGCTCTCAAGAATAGATCTAGGGTTAAACATCGTTTTTTTTTTACCTATCAGATGTGTTAGGCGAATATTATATTTCAAGTCAAGTGACTTCTGCGTGAGAAAAGAGCATACAGATATGTGATGTTTTTTATAATAAAGAAGAAAATTATTCTCTCTGCCTAGGCTGCCTCTGGTCTAGGCTGTTATAATCACTTGTGAAGGTCGAAAAGCTACGCCATTGGTGTGCAAATCTACGGCGGGAGACCTTGTATTTAGAAGAACCAGCAAGAAACTCAGCAAGGGCTGCTTTCTTTTCCTGTGTATACGGAGTCGTGAAGTGAAAAATGACTTCAGAGATAATTCATGAAGTCACCTTCCAAAACATCATTTTGAACATACAATTATATTTCAAGTGTAGTATTATGCCAGTTTAATCACAGCTTACAGGGGTTTGGGAGAAACTCAAACCGAGGAAAACTAGATGCACCAGTAATGTTCTAAGCGGAGAGCATCTCTATTCAGGGAGGATTTCATCCTGAACAAAGTTCAACTTGAAATCTCAAATCTGAATATTCTGGGTCATGTAAGACTTAAATACATTTTTTTATTTGGATTGTAGACAATCATATGAGCCAACTGATGGTAAGTGGCCACCATTAGAGACACCATTACAGCCCATAGACGCTCGCAATACCAAGACCATCACTCGCACCCACTCTACCCCGTGGAGTCCTGGAACCTTACTCAACGACAGGAACACAACGCCACTAAACACCAAAATGTATTTTGTGTTTCAGTCGGTGTTATTTTACTGTCCTCTGTAAGGTGGTTACTTTGCCAGACGGGCGCTCCAATTCTGGCGGAAAATCCGCTATGCCCTCTTTTAAGTATATAGATAAGAATTGTGGAACCACTGTAGCACCCACTCTTATTTTTGTAATGATTTAATCGATCCTGTTTGCAGTGACGTGCGAAGTTTCGACATCGTGAGTCACGGACATGTAGTTCGGTTTAAAGCGATCATTACTATAGTCACGCCTCAAATTCGTCACTTTACCGTTGGTGCACTATATGTTATGGACTTAAAATTAGAATATTTATTTATTTACAATAACTTAATTACAATTTACAAATAATCATGGAAAAATACAAAATTTGGTGAAATACGACATGCAGATAGTTTATTACATTAAGATTTTGTAGTTTGTTGATTAATTGATGCTGTTTTGCTATTTTTTTATTTTTTATTTGTGAAACAAACAATAGTTTATTACATTAAGATTAATTAAATATAGAGAATAACATACATCAACAAAGTTTCCACTAACAATTAATACAGTTATGAGCAGCTGTGTATTTTTTTAAAAAATATATATAAAATTAAATAAAATACGACATTAATTGAATTGAATATATTTTAATAATAACTGTTCATTCATTCAATTACTTCATTTAAAAGCTTTTTGTATTCATTAATTCCATTTTTAAACATATCAATATATTTTTTTTTAATTATACGAATCACAGGCTCGGTATAAAAACGTGTTGGAAGTATATTTTGTCTTAACAAAAGGTACAAAAAATAGGCTGTTAGACCTAGAGTTTATACGGGAATACTTAAATCGAATATTACTCAAAAGAAAAGGAGAATCAATCATATCATTTAAGATTTTAAACAGGAAGATCTGATCCCTCACGCAGCGACTATTACTCAAACTATCTTTGAGAATCGTTTCATTATTTACTTTTTCAATGCGAACACCTAAATGAAATGTGTTTAACACACCTTTTATGTATTCTTTCTATCATGTGTATTAAAATATTTATATTTATATTGCTGCCGTTATATTATGTTTAATCAATAAGACGTAAATAGATCCCCTAGTGAATTATCTTCAGTATGGCACAACGGGTTAGATAGCGCAAGTTGGAACGTGTAACTAATTACAAATAACTCAGCTAACGTCTCTCATTCCCATATGCCGCTTACCGCATGAACTCCTGAATTATTTCTCAACACAGCGTAACCTTGTGAGTAAAGAAGACATAGAAACAAAACTTCATACAATGGCGCGTGTGTAAGTGAGAATACTGAGTGAGTATAATGCGGCGTTTCACCTTAAGCTCAGAACAACGAATTTTGACAGCTCTATAATCGTATCGCATCGTCAAAGTTTCTATGAAAACATAGCAGCGCCTTTATTGGATGGAAGAACAAACAAGCTTTTCCATACAAAATTTGACGATACGATGACGAAGCTGTCAAAATTCGTGCTCAGGCCTCTGAACGAGCAAGCATTTGCTCTCTAGGTAAATGGAAATATTAGAGCGAGCGGACGAGTTCGTACAACGACGCTTGACTGGTCTCAGGGAACGAACGCTCTCTTGCACAGTCATTTATGGAAACAACGCAATAGTCGGCTGCCCAAAACCAAAACAAAGTAAGACACATTTGGAAAATTTTACCGGACGAGCAGAAATGTGTTTTTGCCTCTCTTTAGCATATTTAAATGTAGTGTAATAAAGTGTTTTACATCAATGAAAGCGTAATTTATTATCTGTATTTTTAGTATTTTTATTTTTTTACATTAAACATTAAAAAGCGTTAAAAAGAATACAAAATATATAAATTTTTGATCTAGTATGGAACAAATCCTTGTTTTTTCTAAATAGTATCGGACTGAAAACTAACACAAAACACAGTATCTCTTATTATAGTCGTTTAACAAGTTAAAGAACAAATTTAATTTAATTTAATTATAAAAAAAACTAGTGGTGCTTCGTCCCCCTTATGTACGTATTTATAGGATAAAATATCTTTTCCCGTGTCTCAAACTGACTCTATGCCAAATTTCCGTAGATAATTAGAATGCAGTGTGTGCCGGTTCGAAACAAAACACAACGTGCTCGCGACAAATTACACGGCAAACTACTTAACGCGGTCGACCGTTCACATTTCTTTTGAATATTATTCAAACTGTGTAACACTGGAGTGTTACTATGCAACGGTCGCACAATTCCGGCGGCAAAACCAAACCCAAAACCAAGTATGTCACAGGAACAAAATCAAAATTGAAACCATGAAATACTCATGTCTCTTACTGTGATTTGATTTAGTTTCTGAGACATACTGTTTTTTGATGTGATTTTTATCTTACTAGTTTTAAACGTCTTGAAATAATCCAGCCTCCAGGCGACGGTAGTGCTACAAGTACCAGACCATTTTGAAAAGCGCAACAAGGTGAATCAGACCAAGACAGCTAAAAAAAAACTTTTTTTCTGTGTTGCGCCTTACTGTGTTTTGGTTTTGGGTAGCCGCAGTGTTCTGAGCGTTCCATTTACCGAGCGAACGAATGTTTGCTCGCTTGGAACTGTTCTGAGCATTAGGTGGCAGCGCAACTTTACTCGTAACGAGAACTCCACGGAACGTAACAGCCGGTTACTGCAGTGCAAGGGAAAGTTGAGGGCAAAAGATCTCGCGGGAGTTCTTCTTCACGGTGGACAGACCATGACACACTCCAGCGTAGATGATTGTTCTCGCTCTGCAAATCATTGAACTACATGGCATCGTACAAGTGCATCGGTAATCAAAGGAATCGACAGTGGCAAGGCAATAGAGGAGGCACAGCTAGGAAGAAGAGAGTACATGGCGCCTGTCGCGTATGCAGATAAAGGCCCAGCGCACACCGGAAGCAGCGCGGCGAATATACTGAGAAGTTAACAGTTTTAGTTAAACCCTACCCCCTATACCCCTTATTAGGAGGAATAAGCTTTGACTAGTTACGCCGTGCTTTGTTCATATCACACAAATGACATTCATCATTCAATGAACAGAGAAAAAACCTGGAGTAACTAATCCAAGCTTATTCTGCGTTTATTAATTAGAGGGTATAACTTTAAAAATTGGCAAACATGGAACAAAACACAAGCGGCGCACAGCGCTGCGAAGCGGCCACGAAAGCCGGCGCGTGACTACTGAGCTCCGTGGCTCTAGGCCGCGCTTAAAGTTGCCACGCACCGCTCCGTGGCTCTTGGCCATGCTTAGAGTCGCCTAGTAATAATCTGCGCCTCCGTCCTTCAATCGTAGGTCCCTCCAACTCCGTCGGCCTAGGCACGTCTTAGACTATCCCGACGACGAAATCACCTGCGCCAACGCGCCTCCGACTCCTTACACACAGGCAACAAACACCAACATTACATTACTACACACGACACGCTATACCAGGTACAGGTAAGTGCCTGGGCGTTTTCCCCGCCCCCCACGACAACGGCTAACTAGAGCCGAGGTCCGAATCTCAGAGGCGCCCTCTAATTGAGACGACCCCCTCAGGTTCGAGTAGTCTAGAGGCTCCAGACGGAGAAGAGACTCCCCCTGTGGAGAAATGCCATCCGCTTGGAATACCTCTAGAGGCACTCACCAATTCTCGGCTTCAGGTCCTCTTAGGATCTCGCCGCCCCCAAACCCGGAGACGCTGTAAAGGTCATCTGCGACCAACAGCATACAAACTAAAAAAAAAAAAAAACTTCGCCGCGCCTCTCCCGGTGTGTTCTGCGCCAAACATTTCTATAGGCGGCGACAGACCGCCAGTGCACAATTATTTATTGGCTAGTGCTCACTCACTTGCATGAAACTTTCTCTCTGTGTCTTCTTTACTCATGAGACGTAACGTATTTGATAGTACAGGTTGTAGCGGAAACATATTAGGTATGTGATTATGCTATTCCATATGAACAAACTGAAATGTAGGAGCTGAGATAGACAATACAATAATCTCTTTATATATTTGTATAAATTAATATATTATCATATACCTAATATTTTACTTTTGACGACGGGCCCACAAAAGGAATCATAAGTCTGTTCAAATA